GATCCTACTTATGGGAAAAATACCACTTCAAAAACTTTTAATAACTTGGAATACCTCCCTCGTTAGTGATAGAACTAATTTCCATATAATTACCAATTTATGAAGGCTCTTGTGATGAACTTTCTTAGAGTTCGACTTAAATTCTGAAGATCTTATTTTAGGATAAGATATATTAATCATAGATGTATTCATTCCAATATTTGAACTTCAACAACGGCAACTTTCGGTCATGTCCGCCTGGTAGAGCCCGTCGGGTCCAAAATTTTCGGACCCAATCGAACCATACTTTGATATTCTCAATGAAATCTTCTCATTGGTATTGAATAGTCACCCCAAACATACGAGATACTTGTTTCCGGCTTCTTATATTTAGTCACTAACGCACCTTACACGCTCCTCAGATGACTAGAGCTCATCAGGTTCACATATTTCGGACCCGGTTGAGTTCGGGTTTGGGATCAACCTGACGGACTCTACCACTTGATTGTTCACTCTGTATATATAGGGTGTCTCACAATTATAAGACCCCCCTTTATTTTTGAGAATTTTCAGCAAAGATGAGTAGCTAGATCAAATCTAAATAGTGATTTAGATAGCCCTTGAAAATCCCTATCGAACATGGTATAGACTAAAATTTGAAAAGAAACTTTATGAAGAGAATCGTCTTGAAAAACCGTGTCACTGTAAATTCAACTTTTCGAGAAGTTTGAAAAAATACTTTTAAATACAGCCATCTGAAAGAGCAGAAAATTCTGAGCAAAATGAAGGGTTGCCCAGATCTCCATGATGTTTCGTTGCAAAGTTATAAGCATCAGAAAATTCGAAAAATCGTATAATTTATCAAGAAAATGCAAAAACTAGGTTAAAAATATGCTTTTTTCGAGTTTTCTGATGCTTATAACTTTGCAACGAAACATCATGGAGATCTGGGCAACCCTTCATTTTGCTCAGAATTTTCTGCTCTTTCAGATGGCTGTATTTAAAAGTATTTTTTCAAACTTCTCGAAAAGTTGAATTTACAGTGACACGGTTTTTCAAGACGATTCTCTTCATAAAGTTTCTTTTCAAATTTTAGTCTATACCATGTTCGATAGAGATTTTCAAGGGCTATCTAAATCACTATTTAGATTTGATCTAGCTACTCATCTTTGCTGAAAATTCTTAAAAATAAAGGGGGGTCTTATAATTGTGAGACACCCTGTACAAACATAATGATTTTTTTAATTTTTCTATAGATGTTGTGGTCAACCATCAAGTTATGTTAAACAACGAACACCTCGCTTAGATTCAATAAATAATACAGATTCAGGTCTGTTTAATTATTACTGTTGTTTTGTAATATATTTTATTTTTACATTTATTAGATAATATTGCTCAACGTCCACAAGGTGAAGTAATCATACCGTCAATTGAAATAATAAGTCCAACACGATCAAGTAGTTATGTTGAATAGCTCTAATGGAGAGAAAAATAAGGAACAAAGCCTTTTGTCAAATACTCTCGCCTTACTTTTTATTGTTGTTTTTTTTCTTCTTTCAATATTCAATACTATTAGTTGCAGAAATGGTTAAACATACACAGTCAATATTTCAATAACAGAGTTCAATAATAAGAAAAGAAAAATTCTAAAATAAATAAAGATCTGAATGGTGTGTAGGCGTAGTAATTAATCCCTCTATTTTCTATTTCTATGTTGTTTCCATTACTCTTTTTTCTATGTCATAGTGTTGTAACTACAATTTTTTTCATATGTCAATGTGTATCTTTTTCTCTACTGCTTTTATTCTGTTTAATCTTCAATATTTTTTTCCACTTCATTTTTTCGTCATATTTATTAAACCAATGATCAAAAGAAAATAATTGTATGTTGCTTTTGCTATTTTAAACTAATAGTTTATATCAAACTGAGCAATCAATTATAAAAATAATAATAATAATAATAATGATTTGGCTTCAATATAATTTGATTGGTTAAGCAGAAAAATCTTGAACAAAAAACAAAAACATAAACATGAACTCTGCATAGGTAATAGTGAAGATCCTAAAAGAATGTTTTGTGTTAAATCTATAAAGACCTTAGAAAGAAAAGTTTTTTTTTCGACTTAATCATGCTGTCATACGTAAAATATTCTCAGAGAAAAATGCATTGAAGCGTGTAGCTGTCAATCTGATTGAGAAGTCTTTGATCAACAAGCTTTTCTTTTGTCAATATAAGGTTTGCTTGATAAATGGTATACATACAATTTTTAGAATTCAATATTAAGATTTGTTGTATTATCGTCGGAATAGATACTATAGAGCAAATAATTGCTTTCTGAATCAATTATTTTGACATACATATTGTTATATTTCTGTTAGTTAATTTTCAAGAAGTATGTAAATAATATTTTATTATTTGATAATATTCATGAGTTTAGTAGAAAGAAAAATCTCAATAAACTTTCTTGTATTACATCGTATGTTTTAATCAGATTGAATATTGTTTATCAACTTGACCTTTTCTAGGATATTAACTGATAAATATATTCATATCATTTCACCTTCGATATGAAAACGAAAGATGGAGCTGTATACGATGATTTCTATTTCGTTTCATTTTTTTTCTATATTAATAACAATTATGCCTTATAAAACATAATCTTAATAGAAAAACATAGCAATGTAGAACGAATCGATATCAAAAGACTAAAACTTAAAACTAGGTTCTAAACAATTATATATGAATGATTGTTCTTCAAACGAAAATAATATTTTGACGATAGCTGTTATCATATAATATAAATATGATAATATCCAAAACATTTTTTCCGTATGGATGAATCAATAAATCAGCGTATATGTCAATAGTCTACGATATCAACCATAATTCGTTGATTCAGTAATTTCTTTTTTTTCTTTTAGTGATTAATGAGAAAGAATGGATTAGAAACGACAGGTACACATATATGTGTATCCAAATATATATATATATATATATATATGATATTCGTTACACAGTTATGAATAACAGAGAAGGCAAGGTTTCAATGCGCATATATTATACCTATATGCAAAGCACGCTTCTTGATATATATTATATACGCATCCAAACAAGTAAGAAAAACAGGTGATAATGTGTATGATTTGTCGAATAAACGGCAAAAGCAAATTCAATTCTACTACGCTCTTTCTTTTTTTTTTCTTCGATGCCTTTTATTTGGCATATACTCTTAACAATTACGAATTTATACATTCTTCCATATATATTCATTCAAATATTGGAAAATGTCATTCTTATATTAATGATTCTTTTATCTCTAGCAGTCATTTACTATTTCGTCTGCATGTATATATAAACTTTTTTTGTATTCTGCTTTATTCCTTTCTTCGAATATAAAGTAACACATCGAATGAGTCTTCCGTGATCGTCGATGGAAGAATGAAATGATGATACAAAGAAATGAAGAAGAACTATAGTCCATCTATTCATCTGCCTTCTTTCTCTTATTCTTCGTCGTCTTCTTCTTCTTCTTCTTCTTCTTCTTTTTCGTTGAATCAATGAAAGAAAAAAAGGTAGATCGATGTTTGATAGTGATAAATAACGAATGTTGTCATTTATTGAATAACAACTAGACAACAAAAAAAAAAAAGAAACGAACAAGAATTGCTAACATGATATTTTTTAATCAGAACTCTTCATGTCATTATATATTTCATGTCATTTCTCTATTTTTCTTTTCTAAATATATGTATTTAGTTTATCAAACTATTCCGATCACTACTCATTTCCAATCTAATCAATCATATAATGCAAATCGCTTTTTATATAATATAATCTTTTGTCGAGGTGAGTTATCTCTGAATTAGACAAGTGAAAAAAGAAATTCTCGAATGATAGAGAACGGAATCAACAATTATGATTGCCTGCCGAGTTTTTTTTTTTTTGCTTGGTCGTTGTATACGCTTTCTGTGATACGGATTTTCCCCTCAGCGTTCATTCAGCTCTTTGCTTCTTTCTTTTTCTATTTCTATTTCTTCTCCCGTTCGGAATACATGATAAAAAAAAAAGCAAAAGAAAGAGAGCTATGTACCCGTCCTGATAATTCAGACTAGCATTAGACACATTCTCATATAGACGTTCTTGTGTGCACAAAGAAATCCGAGATTAGCTCGAAGACTATGCAAGTATTCTCGTATTTTATAAAAAAAAAGGATACAGATTGAACGTTTATAGAAGAAGAAAAAGAAAATACGATTCATAGTATGAATGATATGGAAAGAGAGTTTTTTGCCTTCCTTTTTTTTTTTCTTTTCCTTCGCTTTTGCTCTGTCGTTTTTTTTTGGTGAACGTGTGTTGCTTATTGTGCAAAGGGGTTTGTCGTTTTTCTATCCATCGTGTCTTCATTTTTTTATGCTGCCGGAAGGCAACGTTATATCTTTCCACTTATCTACTTCGAATAGAACTGTTCGTTCTTTTTCCAATCGCATTATAGTGATACGATTCATGTGTCTTCTTAACAAGAAAGAAACTTATATTTTTATCTTCATATCCTTATATGAGAAATGATCCATGAATTCTAATCATTGCATATATGTACATACATACATACATATATATATATATATATATGTGACAAGAATTATTAAGAGTATCAGTCACTTGTGCCCACTGTGTTATTGGAAGCTCCTATTGATACTTATGAAATCTCATTCTTTTTTTTCTCATTCGAAGAATAAATATATATATATGTATATGCATATGTATATATAGTCAAATAAAATATTAAATCATTTTTTTTCTTCCTTCTTTCATCACTTTCATTTTATACATGCATCCACCCATACACCAAACAAACAAAGTCGAATAGGACTTTGAAATTTTTTTTGGTGTGTATAAAGTATTCGATAGAGAATAAAATAAACTTTTCTTTTCTTTCTTCTTTCACTCATATTCCATTCTTAGAAGAAGTTTTTTTCTTCTTCTTCTTTTTCTTGTAGAAATATAAATCGACAAGATGTTGATGCCATCTCAGTCACCACCATCGACGACCACTATTCAAACATTACCTTCAGATCAACAACAGCAACAAGAATACGTCGATACATTAAACAACCAAACGAACAGTACAGTTATAAAATTTCGACGAGAAAAATCAATGGAATTCGATGATGATACAAGATTTGTCAGTAATATCAATGATGATATCAATAATAATCATTCAGTATTTGAATCAACAGATGATATGATCAAATTAGAATCAAATGATGCATCATCAGTGTCAAGTACAAATGAAGATTCACAATTAATAATACAAACTCCATCATCACCATCACCACTACCACCATTATCAAGTCCATGTAAGAAAATTTATTTCATTTGTACAAAACAAATATAAAAAGATTCTTTATTTTTAGCATTTAGTGATCTATCGAAACCAACAGAAAAGATTTCTTCCAATCGTCGATCTGTGCGACCATCATCTAATCGCCGACTAGTTGGTGAAAATGAACAAATCACATTAACAAATATCAATGAACCTGATCCAAATGTATTTCTAATATCATCTGATACAAATTCTCATAATACAATACGAAAAACAAAACATGATGTTAAACGTTTTGTTATGTATATAGATGAACAATTCGAAGAACAAAAACCTTTACATACAATATCAGCTGAATCATTATGTCGATATTTAAAACACTATTTTGAAAATACAAAAAAATTTGATGGAACACAATATGAACCAGATACATTAAGAAGTTTTCTATTAAGTATTGAACGTTATTTAAAAAGTAAAAAATATGAATATAATTTAATGGAATCACCATTATTTCAATCATGTCGACAAGTTATTATGAGTAAACGTGAACAATGGAGAAAAATGGGTGGTGGAAATCATTCAAATAATCCTCATCAATCAAAATCATCATTATTGTTATCAAATATAAAAAGTTTAACTGTATTTGATCGAACTAAACCTGATGGTTTATTACTTGAAATGTATGCTCATATAACAAAACTTTGTCATGATAAAGTTTTCTCAATATCACAATTACTTTGGAGTGATATCGAATTAATTGATGAACAATATCTTGTACGTCGTCAACAAAAGCCTGAAAATCAAACAATAAGGTAAGAAAAAAAAGCAACATAATACCCAATCAATTAATATGATGAAAGAAAATTTGTCTATTTTTTTTTCTTCTTTTTTAGACTATATGCAACACCAAGTCAACCATCAACATGTCCAGTACAAGCTTATCGTCTTTATGCAACACATCGACCTCCACAATGCAATACACCTCAATCACCTTTTTTTCTTATGCCACGTGCTTCTAATATTCATCATACTTGGTAGAAATATTTTTATTATTGAAATAAATTTACTTAAAATTTCATTTTTATTTTTATGTTTTAGGTATAAAACAACAACAGCTGCTAAAAATCTTGAACAAGTACTTCAAAATGCTATTCAATGTAATATTCTTTCAACACAATCATCACCTTCATCTTCAATAACAAAATTTAAAACTCTGGAACGTTCATCGCCATTGATTCTTAATGAATCATCATTTCCAATATCAATACTTAATGGGAAACGAACTGAATCACGAATGTCATCACCTGGTTTATTGCCATCATCAAAACGAATACATTCATCGATATCTTTAGTACAACCATTGAATCTTGTTGTTACAACAAATAATACAAATATGGAAGACGATAGTGGTACAGCTTCATCATCTCCAACAAATTCATTATCAAATGATGTTACATCCTCATGTATATTAAATAAAAATTCATCATCAATAACTAATATATTTCATAAACAATCATCACCATCAATAACTAGTCCTATTTGGGATGAAAGTGTTACTGATATATTATTAACTGTTGCAAAACAGCGTGATACACGTGTAGTTAAAATAAATATTCTTCGAACATATTTAGAAGAAAAATTAGGTGTAGTAGAATTTTTATGCCTTTATCGTGGATTTAAATCTGAACCAAAATTAACATTTCATAGAACACCATGGGAACATTATCAACGTTTTTTACCTGTTCTTTTTACGCTACTTACACTTGACAATACGACTGTTTAAGCAATGTCGGTTTTTTTTTCAGTTTTTTCTTTTTTTTTTTTTCTATGTTTGTTTTTATCAATCAAGAATTTTAATTTTGTTTCTTTGTTTGTATATCCCAAAGATGTCATAGAAAGAAAAGACAAAAAGAAAAGCTAAAATTAAAAAAAACAAAGAAATTTATTTAAATATGCCTTAAGATCAATATATTTCCCATGTATTTCTATCAAGAGTGACAAAGAGTATACATTTGACATGTTACTGACAAACTAAAAAATTTATTAAATCGAAAGAATGAATAGTTGGCTATTTTTCCTTGAAAAAATAATTTATACAGAACATTTCAAATAAAGAACAGTAGTGATCGATAATTATGCTAAGAAGACATGATATTTTTTTGAATGTATTTTTAAAATTTTGAAAAAACAAAACTCGATAATGTAATTCTTTAATAGACAACATTTGCGAGAAAGAATATCTGTCTGGAAAAAATCAAAACATAACCCCAACTGCTTATGTCAACTTAAAAATATATCATTCAATATCAAAGAATATTTCTTAATAAGTAACATTATTATTTATCGGTTATATTTAGCATCTGTTTATAACTGACAATCAACTGGATTAGATATTTAAAGAAACACTGCAAACAGAAAACATATGCTTTGTTTTTTTTTTTTTTTTTTTTTTTTTTTTGCAGTCACGAAATATTCATTTCATGATAATATACTTTTATTTTCATTACAAAACCATCAGTAATGTTTATTTTCATAATATAACTATTAGACAATAAGTTACTACGAAATATATGTGATACAGATAGTTTTTTTTTTTAATCATTTATGTATATGAATCAATTCCTTTGAATCATTTCAATACAAAATAGATAATGCACCGGTAATAGAATTATTTCATGGAAACATTATCAATATGTTATAGATAAAAATTTTTAATATAATTCAAATTGTTTATATCTTGTACTGAAATTTTTGTTTTTGTCTATGAATTCATTTCATCAATCCTATGAACTATATTAAGCTGAACAATAAATCATTTTTTTCAACGTGTATTCAAAGAAAAAAAAAAGATTAGAAATATCTGGTGCACCGTTAAACACACATGTTCGCTTGTTTCTTTTGTTTGTTTTTTTTTTAGCAACTCAATACAACAAAACGCACGAATAAGAAAAAGAAAAAAACAAAATCGCACACCCTAACCATTTGTTAAAGACACAAAGTGTAAAAAGAAAAACAAAAACGTAGTAGTATTCAAAAAAGAAAACAAAAAACATGCCAATTATAGTCTAGTTGAAAGGGAAACATATAATCGATCAGATCAAATATAAGAAAAGATATTGATCATATGCACAAAAATAGGACATCTATAGGTCAAATAAAACAAACCATTTTGTTCGATATTTCTCTTGTTGAAATTAAACAGACAGTGTATATATACATAGGAAAACAAAAAGACCCAATATAATTATTGTACAGTTGATTTTGTCATTGTCACTGGATGTCCAACATTAGCACGAACCGGTGTATCTCGTACGGATTCAATTCTAAAGTAAAAAATAAAAGCTAAGATTATATTTTTATCAAAAAGAATACATTTATGTATTTAAAGAACAGAAGAGATTCACAAAATTTTGTTTCGTGATATTAATTAGTTTATACAAAACAAAAAAAAAAAAGACGTGCTGTTTGTTGTATATTATAGTATTAAGAAAAGAATAAAAAAAAAAGTTCGGAATAACTCACGAAGAACTACTAAAAATATTATTAAAATTAATTATTTATAATTTTTTTCTTTAAACAATAAAATTAACGTTTTTACCTTGAACAATCATAACTTGCTAATGAATTAGCTGAATAATTTGTTTGTTCCTTAGTTTTTTGTTTTGATTTATGTCGATGTAGAAATGACAGTTTTTTTGTTGTTGGTGTTGATGTTGATAAAAAATTTGGATTAGCAGCAATAAATTTATGTGTACCTAATTCAAAAAACAAATTCTCTTTTTCTGTTAATTAATTAAAGAAAGAAAAAAATAGCAAAAACAAACGAATTTACCATTCTCATATTCACCTAAAGCATCGGCTTTAGCAGCATTTGCTTTCTTTTTTGAATTTGATCGAAATAAATTTTTAAATGATTTTGATATTGAACGACTACGACGAATTGGTTTTGGATCTGAGACATTTTCCAGAAAATATTCTAAAAAAATATATCTCATACAAAAGGTCAATATATAACTAGATATATATATATAAATGTTTGTGAATAAGTTGCAATAATCCTATCATGCTATAAGGTGAGGTTAAGCACATAAAAACATACCGGGGTTTGATCCTGGTAAAGCTATTTAAAGTGATTAATGTTACAAAAGTGAAAGAACAAAAAAAAAAAATGTTAATAGACTTTTATTTAACTCTCACCTGATGACAAGCTATGTGAAACAGGATTAGTTTTTGGTGATTGAATGCTAGTGTTTAATTGTGAGATACTACTTGTGTGTGAGTTCATACTATTATCATGCTTGTCTTTATTATGATGTTTTCGTCGTGGTAATGTTAAATGTTTAAGTGAACTCATAAATGATTTTGATTTATGAGCTTTACCATATACAAGATCACCCTCACGAGGTGTTAATGGTAAAGATTGTAAAAATGGACTTGTGTTTGAATGAATGTCTGCTGATCGAGGTAATGTTGACACAAAGCCATTGTCCTAAAAACAAAATAATTTCAATAATAAAAATTATAGAATTTTCATTCTATTCATATATTATTTTGTAAACTAATACCAACAATTAATAAATATAGATTTTACTGATGTTGAAAAATTTTCAATTGATAAAAAGTAAAAAATCATGATAGAGAAAATACTGGTGAACAATTAGACAAAAACATTCGACAAGATTTAATGAGAAAAATTAAATTTTAAAAATCTTGTATTCATTCTGGGTTAAAGTATTGATTCACTTAACCTACTTAGTTTAGAGATCTAATGACATGCATAAGTCAGTCAATATGCATTCGATTAATATCAGTATCTGCAGCCAGGGTTGTCCCGTGCAATGGAGTACAGATCAACAGCATAATCCTACAATCTTGAAAAATTTTCGTTTTTCTTCTCACTAATTTTCAGATGAAAACGTTTGATTATCTCAAATCGGGTCAACTTTAGCAAAAGGTTTTTTAGCCGATTTCGTGAGTCATCGACTCTCACTTCCACTCTTATTGACCTTTAGATGCCTACATCTGTAGCTATTAATAACTGCAGTATCTTATGTGCCTGACTTTATCAGATAAAAAGTTCCGTGTTTGATACTCTTTTATCAGTTCTAGAAGAACTCTATTGATAAATTAGCTATAATTAGGTTTATTGTTACCAGAGATATGTACCGCCCATACAGAAATGGAGGAGGGCGCGGAAACGGTCGCGCCCTAATAACAATTATCACTAATTTTTGGGCGGCCACGCTTTTATCATACCAGCTGTTAAAATCTATTACTAGATATTTTTAAAAAAGAATGTACATCCAACTGTGAAAATTGAAATGAAGAAATTGAATCATTGAAAGACTTATTCTTTCGGAGATATTGTTTATTTTATTTGCCCATTTCATACTTCTGTGTTACATGCATCAATCAAATCATAATCAATGTTAATTAACAATCATCCTGATAACAAATCTGCATAACTCAAAAATTAATATATTCTACTGTGACAAGCATCATATTTAAATTCACCTGAAAGTTAAATTTAGCTACAAAATCAGTTAAGACAGAAACGAACACCCTATAAGTATATATATATATATATCAACGTTCGGTTACATTTTACCTAATAAAATATTCTTTTGTAGTATTTTCAACTTCACATTGTCGTTCTTAAGTAAGTATTCAGAAATATTCTACAGCAACAAATATGAGAAAAAGATTAGCAAAAAAAAAAACTTTTTTCAATTAGCATTAGGTGCAATCACTTCGCACTTGCCGAACAATGATGACGCGTAGTAGTATCCTAACCGGTACAGAAGATTGTAGACGACAGTCGTCTCCGTCACCGCTATGTGACGACCGTCATCATTCTTTACGACGCTCACGCCTCGTCTTGTGTAGACACTGTGTACATCTCTGATTGATATCTGACTAATTTTTGAATGATTCATAAATAAATATATTCCATGACTTTTTCATTTGTCATGTAAAGGTGTCATCTTGTTTGCTTTGTTTATTTAACTTACATCATCATATAAACTAGATGGCAAACCATAATGTTTCGGCAGTGTACCTGCGTCATATGACGATGATAAGTAATCATTGGCTGATGATTGTTGATATCGTTCTTGATAATCTTGCTCGATTTTATTAATTTCTATTTGAATAAAAAAAAAGAAAAGAGAATTTATTTTAATTATATTTATTTTAAAGAAATTATTATAAAAGTATAGAAGTAAAAATTCTACCTCGTTCATTATATGTCCAAACTTGACTGTCAGCAATACTTTCAACATCGTATCCATTGTTAGCTATGGTTAGTTTATAGAAAAAAAAATAATATATATGTAATATGTTTGATTAAATTAATGAGCGTGAAAACATGTAAAAACAAAAAATAGTTGTATAGACATAAATCAATCTTACCAGTTAGTGCTTCTTCTTCAGATAAAGTTGAAAACTAGAAAAAAAAAAAAACATTTTACTTGTTTTATTTTTCTGTAAACATTATGCCGAATTACTACTTTTTTTCTACCAGAAGAATTAGAAGAAAACTATTTTTTAAAGTATTTATATAATAAAAAAATAAAACATTATGAAAAGAAAAGTTTGCGAAAGAGTTTTTGTGATTTAAGACGATCTTTTAATCGACATGGTTGATAGTGTAATTCTGTTGATGGTAATGAGTCTTTGTTATTATTATTATTATTATTATCATTATTATTATTATATGAAGATGAATTTTCTACTAAAGAACGTTGTGTATAAAATGATTGATATAATTCATGACGTTTGTTAACAGTACTTTTTATTTTTGTTTCCAATAATGATACAGAACAGTTTGCTGGATGTGTTGGTGTTTCAATTGTAAAACCTGTTGATTGCATTGGCGCTAATGAGGCCTCATTAGACGTTTGACTTATGAGAGCTTTTCTTGGTCCCAGCGGTAGTAATGAAACATGAGTAGTGTTATTCAATCCTGTTGTTTGTTCTTTTCGATCATCATCAAACGATAATAATTGAAACGTATTTTGGGATAAATTACATAAATCTGAACAAGAATTCGATTTAATCGTTTTTAACGTTGAAAGATTTTGTCGTTGATTCTTTTGAGTATGTACATGTTTCGACCGTACTTCTGGACTTGTACATAAATCCAAAAATATTCTATTCAAGTTCATTTGACTGCGACTTCGAACCATCGTTACGTATGTTTGTATGTTATTTACCAATATATTCGCGTAAAATAATCAGTACTAATGATATTTTGCATTCTCTATTTACAAATAACTTCGCATATAAAGGAGAACGAAAAGTGTAATAGGGGAAATGAAAGAGAGAAGAAAATACAACATAAAAAAAATATCGAAGGTGTCGAAGAAAAAAAAATATTATGAGTAATATACACAACAAAAACTAGAACGTAGAACATGTAATCTAGTCACACTGAGACTGATGAAAAGGTTTTATCCATATGATTTATATTCTTATTCATATTTGTTATATTGTTTTTATTCGTTTCAGAGAAATAAATTTTTCTTTGTTAGATTATAATAAAGAGAAAAGTATGCGCAACGTTTTCTTTCATCATAATTAATATGTTATTTTCTTGATAATGATTTTCGTTATATATTAAGAGAAACAGTCAAGGTGTGTGTATATACTTTGTCCTTACCTCAAGACGAATAATAGACTCTGGATTTTGTGGACTTATTTGTATGTCTTGTTTGTAGACTGTACTTGTCGCATAAGAAAATGGCATTGATACATCAGCATAAATAGTATCAACTGGATAAAAATATCATGTCAAAATTTTTATTATAAATAGAAATGAATCAACTAACCGTAATTGTTACCCGTTCGTGTATTAGATTTTTTTCGATCGATTATTTGTAAACGTATTTGATTACTTTGTTCATTACATTCAAAAACAAAACGTTCATCCCAAAAACTTTATAAACAAAAAAAAAAAAAAAGAAACATAAATTTCTTTTTTTGTAAAAGAGAAAATAATTAACATACGGATTAAGACCATTTTTTGCCGTATCCGTTTGTTTTATCTGTTTTGGATGATTTAATTCGAGAATACAATATGGTTGTTCAACATCTAATTTATAATAATAAAAAAAAATAAATTGAGAAAAAAAAGTAATACTAAGATTTAAAAAGAATTACCATGTAATTTAACAGCTTTAACAATACGAACAAGTAATCTTTTCGGTTCTTTTTCTATTTCTGATTCTTTTGTATATAAATATGGAGTAGTATCATTAATTAGTAATGTTGGTGGAGGTTCTGATAGTTGATATCTCGTATAATTTGATTCACGAGAACGAGATCCAACTGATTGAATAGATAATGATGATGGTTGATTATTAGATGAAAACTAAACAAAATAGAAATACTTAATTAATGTCTGCACTATTCATTAGGATTGCAAAGGGAATGCAAAATATATTTTGATTTTTTCTTTAGTATTAGTATAATTCAAATCTCTTAAGATTAATAATTTCATTAGAAAGTCAACTATGTATGTATAGTAGTGAACAAAAGTCTCTCATGTAGTAGAATTTTCCATAAAATTAATAAAAATAAACAGCAGTAGTCATCTTCTGATCACAACCATTGTTCATTTCTTCAATGTTGTTGTTAATTATAAACTTTGACATATGGCCTTGCCACTGTGCCAGCAAACTAAAATTATTTTTCTTTTTATCTCAACAGTCGTTTGACTCAAATCTAAGCTATGTGACATGACGACGGTGGAAGTAGTGGAAATATTTGACTGATTCAACTTGATCCGGTAGATCATGTGCAACGATCCTAAAACAGAACCAACAAAGTGCTTCGCTCGTCGAACAACAGCCGCTCATTACAAACTGAGATATGTGCACTCATCGAAAATTTTTGGTAAATCCTCAAGATAAAATTTAGAATAAAATTACATGCAACTTATCAATCTTTAGTTTCTTCAATTAACGCAAATGAAAGTCTTTACTATCGGATTTAGCCATCAAACCTCTACATAGTATGAACAATCAAATTTCTGGAGTTGGTGAAAATCATGGTGACTAGAGCCCAAGTGGGTTAGTCTCAGGCCAGATCTGGTTCGGATCTGAAAATTTTACACCCTATGAGCTGTAGTCAGTGGCGGATCTAGGATTTTAGAAGAGGATGCGATCGTAGGCAAAAGAACACATTTTGAGATGTTTTGGAAGTTATATGAACTTGTTTTTCGTTCGTTTCTACTTGGAAAAACGCCACTGACTGTAGTCGAATGGATGGGAAAAGGCCGAGAGGAAAAATATCAAAAGTAGAGGTGCCATGTTCTACATGTTATCGCATCACTTACACATTTTGTGGCGCTTCTGTTTTCGACGTTTTCCCATCATATCCTGTAGTCGACTAAGAGATGGATAGGGCGTACTAGTCCCTGAATACAAAAAAGTATCCCGTATCTTGGAGACGACTAGGCAATTTCGATTAGAAAATTTCATGGAGAATGTTAAAGTATGGTTCAATCTGGTACGAATCCGAATGTTTTGGACCCACTGGGCTTTAATGGTGACTTTATATCGCCTTAATGGTCCAACTGTACTATAAGTTGCTATATAATAAAAAAGCTTTTTGTTTTATTACTTCATATCAATAAGTTCGACTAGTGTGGGGACTTTTGTCTACTACTGTAGATGATCTATGTTGTTGCAATACTAATATATTGTTTATTGTAGATATAGTAAATGATTTATTTTGACACGATATGTTATTAAATTTAAAGATTGAAATTTTTTTTGTTCGTCAACAGTTAGTAAGGAATTATTAAGTTTTCTCTTCTATTCTTTTTTCAATCTCAAACAAACAACAAAATGCCTTACTATTTTGTTTGAATCTGGATAAGATCCAACTGCAGAATTATAAAGAGTATTATAATTTGTATCATCTTGATGATCTGATAGACGAAAAGAGCAACGAACAGTTGTTCGATTAATAGTTTCGTCTAGTAATCTAATAATAGATTGTTTTTCACTTGTTAATAAAGTCTAGAAAAAAAAATCAATTGAAAACGTCATGTCTTATTCGAAGAAAAAAACAAAGAGATTTTTATGTGTTATTTTACATTATTTGGATCAATAATATTAACTGGATTAAGATGAAGCTGTTGAAGATTAGCTTCAATTGAATATTGATTAGGATTAATAACTAATAAAATATACAATTGACCGGATAACTTCGGTGTTTCAACAGAAAAATGCTGTTCTCGAAATGTATTAATAATATTAATAATTAAATGATCAATATCAAGCACAGCATTGATGACCTTTAAAAACAAAAATAAAAGTTTAATTTTGAGAGAGAAAATATATAAATTTAATACAATAAATATTTACAATTTTTTCAGCAGGTGTTTCACTATTGTTGTTATTGTTAGTTTGAGAAACATCACGAATTTTTGCATTAGCAAATTGCAGTGTTTCCACGCTGAGCTGTTCCTAATAATAATAAAAACATGTTTCTCTCAATTGGCTTTGTCTATTAATTTGCTTAAGGACACACACCAGTATGGTATACATATGAAAAAACAAAGATCGTATTGGATGATAAAATACAAACATATGTAGCGAGTATGACAAAATAAATGGTAGCCTCAGTGTTTTCTTGATATCTCTATCAATTTTTATCGCTCGGAGTTCTTGTTTCAAACGATTCGTCATGCAATTCTACATAGAATCGTATGATTTATCCAACGTATACAATCTTCCGACGTCTCCAGAAGCAAAGAAATTACATGAACTTTACAAAATAGCATTTTAACTTTAGCTATGACACGTTTACAATTGATTATGGTTACTATTTTACTACAGATAATTATTTGGAATGAATTAATCAAATAAATGAGTTTTAAATGTGCCATAAAGAAAGTCATAATGTCCTAAGAATAGAAATGCTTTCTCGAAAAACATATATATCTGTTCGGAGGTTATGTATAGTCTCAATGTTCGTATAAGTTAAGTTCTAGAGAGAGAGAAAGAAAGAGAAAAATGTAATAGTTGATTAAGTCATACTGTTTTGTACAGAATAATAAGATAAACTTTTTCAAAAAAAAGAAAAGTTTGAACGACGAAAATAAATCGAGATATAAAGAAATGAATAAGATCATCATTTATTCTATTTCATCCTTAAAAATTTATTTTACCTTTCGATTTAAAAATTCTTCATTTAATGTTCGTACAAATTCATTGAAAAATTTTTTTCGAATATGACTATTGGAATTTAATAAGACATTTAAAATTGATGGAGTTGTTTTTGGTAAAAATTTCTGTCTTATTCTTATTAATATATATTGTTTAAATGAATAAAAAAATTGAAAAAATTTTTGAATATATTTTAATAAACGACGATATTCAAATATGATTAAGAAAATTATCGTTAATAAAATAAAAGTTATAAGAATGCTTAGATATAAATAACGTTGATTTGTTTTTTCAGAAAGATATGAAAAATGTAAACGAGTATTGTTATAATATAATGTTAGATGATGAATTAATTGATTGAAGTTATCACGCCGACGTTCAATGAACGCATCAATTACAGCTCGACGATTTATAGACATGGTAGATTTCTGTAGGGTATTGCTAGGTTGTTCCATATACCATACATATATACACCCGGCGAAAGAAACTCAATGATCATCAACATGAAGCTGCTGTCGTTCGGCATTTTTTTTTTTCATCTTTCCAAGTGCATTGGCGCAGATTTTGCCGTTAAGAATACAGAAAACGACAGAAAAAAGAGAGAAGAAGAGAGAGAGAGAGAGAAAGAGAAATCTGCATAGATATTATGTCTAGATGGTGCTTCTCGGAAACAAACAAATGCTCGATCCTACTATACATATATATATATATATAAACCTTACGTATGTGATAAAAGTCTTTTTTTTCCTCGTCTGATAAAAAAACACCCCATCAGGATGTCATTGACGAGAAGAAAACAAACAAAACTAGTAGACGTCAACGAAAAAAAAAAGGAACAGCTTCGCTGACAGTTAACTGAGTCAATCGATATGTCTTTCTAAGAGAAGAGAAATATAGTATAGCGTCAAGGTTAATATTCAGTAGGAACAGAAGGTTATTATTTGACAAACTTACATGTTTCTTTAAAAATGTATTATTAATTGCTATTCGACATGCTTCACTTAGATTTCTAAAACCATCATTTTTTTCATTTTGAAGCCACAAACGAAGATGCTTTTCAATTTGTTGATTTAGTGGATAAGTTTTAGTATTTGATGAAACTGTTTGTTGATTAATAGATGATGATGATGTTTTTTGTTCTATTGCTGTTGTTGATTTTGATAAATCGTTTTTATTCGACATTGTTGTTCGTTGTTTATTCTTTGACGATCGATTAGAATCTTCCTGATGATGAAATAATGAAAAATAAGTTTGTTTTCGATCTGTTAAAGCTGCATAAATAGCTGCTAAAATAATAACTAGTATACCAATAATAGCCCAAAATCGAGCAAAACGATATAATTGTGTTTTAAAATTTCGATTTGATGATTTTAATACTAAGGCACACGACGAATTCGGATAATGACGATAACATCTAGGTCCATTAGATTTTAATATTGATAAATAAACTGGAAATGGCGAATGATGGCGATATGTATCAAGAAAATGAAGATGTTTACGTTTTAATAATCGATAACGATTTAATTGTTTTATATAATCATAACATTTAAGATCTGTATATGCCGTATAAAGAGATGTTGTATTATAACGTGGTAAATGACGTGCATGTTTTGTTGATGAAGTAAATATATGTGCAAGTTTTCTTTTAGCTAAGTGCCAAATATTCCATGCATCATCAAAATAACCATTTAATTTTCTTTTAATTTTTAATTTAAATTTTTTTTTATTAAATGATGGAATAGTTTGCTTCTTTTTTTCGTGTTGTGAAATTTTTTCATGAGCAATTTTATTTAATGATTTTAATTTATCTTTTTCTTTTTCTGTTAAAGTTTTTTCTTTTTTCTTTTTTTTTAATGATTTTATTTCATCATCAGTAGTTTCTTTTAACTAAAAAAAAATTTAAATAGTAAAAAAAAAAATCAAATATGTTTTGATATACAAACATGTTGATGTTTTGTATTAATCACTTCTTTAGCATGAGAAATTTTACTTTCTATTGGTTCGACAATTTGTTCTTTAATTTTTGATAGAACTTCATTACTTTTTGGGATCTGAAGAAAGAAAACAAAGTTTGTTTTGTTTTTTTCTTGAAAGGACAAGTAAAAAGAAAATACTTGTTTGATGCTTTCTTTTAGAAATTTAGATGATTTTTCAAAAGTATTTGAAAAAAAATCTTCAGCAGAATCAACACGATTAGCTATTGTTTGTTTTAAATGATCAACACTTGCAGAAATCTATTTATAATTGGAATAGAAAATCACATATTTCATACAAGATTTTTGTTTTCTTACTGTATCATTAATTGATTTGATCTCTTTTTCTATTGATTCTTTTTTATGTTCGATAAATGATTTAAGATCGTTTTCACTTTCATCATGTTTAGTTAAAGAAGATAACTTTAAAAGAAAAACTCTTTCAAAATTTATTTTGATTTTTTATTATTATAAGACTTACTTTATCTTCAATTGGTTTACCTATATGTTCTTTAATTTGTTCAGTAATTGGTGTAGATTGTTCATCTTCTTCGTCTGTTGAAGAAACAATCTGAATAAAAATATGAATTAATTTAATTTTAAGAAGATTAATAATTTCACCTTATTCTTTATATTTGCAGCTACGTTCTTGACCGTTATAATTGATGCAGCTAGTGCTTTTTTAACCTTCTCGGGTAACTTAGAAGATTGTTTTTCTTCTTCGTCGTCAGATTCATAACCTGATTCTTCGTCGTCATTAACAGTTGAAGAAGAAAACTAAAAAAAGAAAAAAAAAATGTAAACTTTTGCGTATTGAATTTTTAGACATATGCCAGAGTTGTTAATGGTAACAACAAACGACCGATTTGGTCTGACCGAAAACTTTGTATTAGTTGGCCTTGATATTTTTTCTAGGGATTTTTTACTGCTGACGAAGATTATTTCTATGAAGAGAAACGCATTAGGATATTCTACTCAGTAGAAACTCATTATCGTTGTTTGACATATTTCATTAACACACACACACACACACACTCATATCTAGTTATGTTATCGAGATACAATGAAATAATTATTTAGCATTGTCATGTCTCATAGATTTATGTGTATAGCATACTATTTACAGTATGTAACTACTTCATACCGACATAGAAGACAAATAAAGCGAATATATCGTGTAAAGCAAATTAAGTATACAGTTAAATAATCATGTTCCTATGTAATAATCATTTAATTGGTGTGCAAACCTTATGAGCCAGTTCATGAAAGCTATAATTGATTCTACTCGATCAGACATCTCAAACTTAAGCTTGCACTGTTAATCAATCTTTAGTTAGTGGTGTTTGAAAGAAAAACATCTTAGCAATGTCGTATCCATTTCTTCAGAGAAACTCTCTTTCAAAGAGATCTCCTATAAGACTTGTATCTAAAACAAAATGTTTCTTTTTGCTTGATGTAAATATCATATAAATTTCAGTTTGTAACTAAGCATTGCTCTATAATCGTAAATTGTGACATACATAGAATAACTATTACATAAGACTTTTAGTGCTACGAAGTTTTCGGTCCATTGATACAAGCCAACGGAAAGAAACCTTCTAGAAATAAATAGTCAAAAGCATAATAGTTATGAAACAAGACTCTCGTGTCATTCCGGTAGTAATTAAAAGACACATATGACTGATTGAGAGTTTTTGTTTGATGGTTATAGAATGAGGAGACTGAAGAATAATCAAAGTCAGTATAACGACTAGTAGTACTAGTTGTAACTCTGAAAAAGTTCATTTGACTCGAAGAAAAATTTTAACAAATATTGATATAATTTTTTTGTTTCTTTAAGTTGTCTATTACTGTAATACAATGTTGAGAAATCATACAACAAATCTCGAATAAAATTTGTATTTTCTACGATTAGATATACAAACTTTTTTTTTGATAATTTTTGCTCCAATATTTTTAGCTGTTTCAATTGCTTTAGTTAAACGTTCTTCTGACGATAGAGAATCATCTTCATCTTCATCATCGTCATCATCATCATCATCATCTTCTTCTTCTTCTTTAGAAGATATCTAATAAAAATATTTTAAAATTTAATAAAATTTGAATAATTATACAAACTTTGCTTTTAACATTCTCTTTTAATTTATGTCCAAAATGTTTAATTGTATCTATACGTTGTTGAATTTGTTTAGTTATTGTTGAATGTTCTTCTTGATCATCAGTCTCGTCATCTTCATCATTATTTTCATCTGTATCTGAGATGATTGAAGAGGAGGAGCTTAATTCAATATTCTCCTCCTCATTTTCATCTTCGAAATTTTTCTTTTCAATTTTAGTATTAATATCTTCATGCTTTTTACTTTCCCATTTTTGAAAAGGTGCTTTAAGATAATGAATAATCCATCGTTGAAATCTTGAACTTTTATTATCTTGATTTGTTTTATTTTGTTTATTTGTAGGTTTTAAATTATTTATTTGGTTTTTAAATGATTTTTGTATTTTTTTACCTGTATGTTCAATTAATGGTTGACGTTTTTTATTTTTATGTGATTCAGTCTCATCTTTAAAAGCATCAATAAAACGATTATATAAATTTTCATTCATTGTTTCAACGGCTTCTGTTGCAGCTGATTTAACTGTTGCACTTGTAATAGTCATCGTTTGTCTATCAACAGCTGGTGTCTGCAAAAAAAGAAAACATGAAAAATGTCTTTATTTTTTGTACCAAAGATACTTTAGTGTTTTCATTATGACGTCGAATAGATGCAGCAATAGGTATAAGAATGAATACAGATTGAAGAATAAGAAGCAGAATAAATGTTAAAATAAATAAATATCGTTTAATATCATCACGTTTTGCTTGATTATAATTGAAAATTTTATAACGTCGAACTAAATGTTGATCATAAAATTGACAAATGTTTTCATGAAAAAATTTTGATAGATAAAATGATGATATTGAACATAACCAAAATAATGGAAATAAAATATCATAATCAATTGTTTTTGGTGTAAAAAATCGAGCTGTTCGTAATGGAAGCCAAAAAATTGTTGAAACTATTTTAAATATTATACGAAATATTAATTTTAAAAACCAAAAAAATAATATTTGAATATGTATTAAAAAATATAATAATACAAAAAAACCAGTTGTTATTGAACTATAATGTATTAAAGAATGAAGACGTTTTCTTGTGAGAATTTTTCGTTCTTGAATTTGAACTATACAACCAGTTATTGTATTTATTAATGGGCCGTTCAAAAATGGATATGTTGCAGGTATAGAAGATGACATCGAGGAAGTTCAATTTAATTTGTATCTTCTAAATAGAATAGTTGATAAATAATATATAAATATCAATTTACAATGAAACGTGATAATATTAATTTTCTTCTGTTATGTCAAATGATGAATAATACATTTTCTTTTTCGTTATCGAATAGGATTTAAAATACCTGTATATACACTCACATATTCAAAATGTCTTTATTATACAACAAAAGATTGTAACAGATGATTACACTCTATGGATGTTCGTGTCTCTATCAAATTGAGCGACAATAAAATGTCTGTAGAGACGAAGAGAGAGAGGGAGAAGGAGGGAGAGGGAAATGAGTACTTATTTTTTCGACTTCTTCGCTCAACAATGTTTCACTGTTATTGTGCAGTTAAAAAAAATATATATTCATGGGCATGTGTGCTATGTAGCAACAACCAGAAATCCAACGGAGAGACAGAATGAAGAAAAAAAAAAAACGAGACTGAAAGAATCGCTGTTGCCATCGTCTTTCCTGCGCAATTCTTCGTCTACTATAATAAAAAAAAAATACGAATAAGAAAGAAATATTTTACTACGATCTCCTCCTCTCATCACAACAAGTCTTTTGCTATCATAATCCTTGTGATGCTTTTCATTTTATTTTTATACCAATCATTTGTGCATTTGTAAAAGGAAAAAAAAGCGCTCGACCATAAAATTAGACAACAAATGATAAACCAACAAGCACGTACAGAAAAACGCTGATTAACATACTTAGCTTTCTTGCTTCACCATTGAACTGTCATAAAAGAAATAATAGTCAATTTAATGTTTTTAATCTAGAAAATATTTTCATAAAAAACAAGTTGTAAAAATAGTAATAAACAGGTTTATTTTTGTTCTTTATAAACCTGTCCTCCTGTATGCGCATATGTTTACTAATCATTGTTTTTTTTTCTTCTCTATTCGTTCTCGTATTCACCACTACACAATGACAAAGTCAAGAGAATAAAGCAGTAGATATGCAAGTAATACACGAAACAAAACCAAAAAAAAAATAAAAATACTTGTTGAATCATTACCTACTAATAAGGATAAAAAAAGAGAATGTCAAACGATTACCGCTAAAAACATTACAGAGATATAAATAGTATTTGTCATCAATATTGTATGCTTACACAGGTGAGCAATAGCACAAAGTACCTGCTTTTAATTTAGAAAATGCGTGAAACTATCAGTACAATTAAATTATAATCGTTTAAACAAGCAAGCGTTTTTATTTCAAACAGAAAAAGAAATATATATATATATATATGTAAAGAAAAACAAAACTCTTTTTCTTTCTCTCTTTTTTTCTTTTTTTTATATCACAGTATTTATTCAAGTGTTAATGTATTTGTACAAGACTGACAATATTTGGGAAATTGATTTTTAATATATTGACCAATTTGATTTGCTGAATCTGCATTTGTTCCATCGACAAATAAAAGATATAGACTACAAACACCCTCATGTTCATCTAAACGTGTTTGAATACTACACAATTTATTTATTTGATCATCATTTAATTTAAGACGTTTTGACGGAGGTTGTTCATCATTTTGATGACGTCGACGTTGACGTTGATGTGACCATAAATTTTCATAAGCATCAAATATCCAAGCATAAGAACTAAGACTTGTCCATTTTAACTAAAAACAAATAAATAATTCTGTTAAGAATATGTTTTGCATGTCAAGAAAGAATCATATAAGTCTTGAAAAGAAAAACAATCGACGGATTTGAAAAAAAAAATAATTCTTCTCGTGATTACGTGTTGTTTAATGTAGGCGGAATCGGTTGGCGCAATGGAGTTTTTCTCTTTCTCGCTCTTGAAATCATTAAACTAGTGTAATAAATATAAACAAACATGAATATTAATTTTATCCATAGTAAAATAATCAGGATGAAATTTTTTTGTAAAATTCCTTTTTATAAAGTTATAGGAAAAGTTTATTTTATTTAAAATAAAAAATCTCTGTTATTTAGTCAAGTATAAAAATGAAAACGATAAAATAATAACTATTGTTTATGCCTCAGGGAATAAAGTGTTTATTGGTCTTTTTCTTTTGCCCGATGTAGCCTAAAAAAATGTCAATAAACTTACATTGAGTTCATTAAATAAATGTTTTTCTAAATAATCTTTAATAAAATTAAATGAATATTTCGGTTCAAATTGAATACTAATTGGCGTTCGATTCATTTCTTTTCTCTCCGTTTTCTATATAGTACAAAAACAAAAAGTACGATAATAAAAATTCAAAACAATAATTAATTTTCTATGATAATACTTTAAGTGCTTTAAATGCTTCTCGAGATTGACATTGTTCAGGAAAATGATATGTTTCATCGAATGTCCATGCAACAGCCCAACGCATAGTATTTCCTTGGCAAAATTCTGTATCAATATGACGAATATCATGTAAACAATTTTGAATTTGTTTTAAACTTGATTTTTTACCCAATTGACTTGTAAAAACTCTAAAAAAAAAAAAAAGAATTTTTTTCATTAAATAAATTTCGTTCTCAATTAACAAACTTACTAAACAAGTGTTTCTACCTGACATTAGTTGCATACAATCGACTTTCATTAATCATACGTGTAATAAATTCAACTTCACCGCCTTGATCATATATTGATTCAATATTAGCAGCTGTATTAATTGAATTAGCTGATGGACGATCAGATTTTCTTGTGTTTGTTAAACCTTGACATTCAAATGTATCAGAAAAGAACGGCGGATTACACATAAGAAAATCATAATGATTTGCTTGATCAATTAAACCATCAAATAATGCTGATGAATTCATTTGTATAACTGAAAATAAAATTCTTCTTAAAGTAAAAACAAAGTTATTAGCGCAATCTCTACGAATTTGAAAAGTGAAACATGATTTAGCTGATATTGCTAATTACAGGGAGATTATTTTTATTCGATCTATTTTGAGACATATTTCTTCACCATCCTTTTAATTCACCAGGAATACAATAAAGAACTAGTTTATATATTATAACTAGACGTTATTAATATACAGTTTATAATCGTATGTCAACATTATCTATAGTGACTCATTGTTTTTTTTTTGTCTATATATACTAAATACTAATGTAATAAAACCTTTAAAGAACCTGAATTCCTATTGAGATTTAACTAAAGTATGGAGTTTTTAAAATGTCTATTTTGTAGAGATTCCAGCTTTTGTAGAAGACTCATATTTTTCGATTTTGACTGGAAATATTGTGCATATATAGACAATTCAACTAGACTAATATCCATTTTAAAAAACTAGGTGGATGGGCATTATTTTAAATAATTTTTAATAGCGATGATGCAGAGAGCTTCAATTTTCACCTTTCACGAAAAAGGAAATAAAGACTCATAAAATCTTATATAAAAAGTTTTTTTCTATCGATTTGTTTGACATTTTTGAAAATCAACTTATCTGGAGAAGTGAATATAGTGAATTTTCAATTATCAAATGTGTATTCGAATCGTCCGTGGAAGATCTATAAAACTACATAAGCCTTAAATTTTTAGATGTAGCCTTTTCAGAAGTCATTGGTATTCTAGTCAAAACTCTAGACCAGTCTTTCAAGAAGTTGCTGTGAAAACAATCACATTTTTGCTTTTATTTCTTATATTAAAATGCACCTTTGTTCTGACATTTTTTAAATAAATTTGATTAAAAACCTTCAAAAAAACATCTCAGAAGAACCCTATAATATATGATTCAATGCAAACTTCTTCTCTTCTTTCCCATGGTGAAAATTGCAGTGCTCTCTCTTGTTTCTATCAAAAAAATACTCACCCGTCATTTTTTAAAATGGGTATTAGATTCTTTTAAAATGTTTAGAATTTTTCAAGAAACATATGTTGTATACACTATTCATGGAAAACGCTTTACATATTTAAATTATCGTATCTTACAGAAGCTTTTTGTTCAAAACTTCTGAATTTTTTCGAGGAAGTGAGTCTAATTGAGTTCTCCGAAAATCTAGTGTCAGTAGAAAATTGACATAACCAAACTTCAATAGTTTCGTTAAAGCTCAATAGAAACCAATTTCTTTTTAGAATTTCTATCAAAACATCTTGTAGGATCTATAGGCAAAAAAAAAATCATTGAAATCATAAGAAGATGCATCTAAAGAGATTTCCTCTTTAAATGTCTGTCAGTCACATCAGAAGGCGGAAGGTCAAATTTCTACCTGTATACTTCAACAGTTTTTTTTTTAATGTCATGTTTCACAACAACAAACAGTAAAGTATTAATTTCTTTTATTTTACCATGAATTTGATCTTGTAATACATTTTGTTCAACATTTTTCATGGCCATACGATAATTAAATGGATCAATTTCAGAAACAAACATTTTCCATTGAGGATTTAGACGAACTGCTAAAAGAGCATGAATACATGAACAACCACAACCTTGAATAGAAATCAATAAAAGAATTCATATATTTTTTTACGGAAGAAAATTTCTTCTTAATACCAATATCGATTCCAATTGCATCTATTTTACATTCTATTAAATCTTCAATCCAATGAAGATAATTTAATTTTTGTGGAATTCTCGGTATAAGACGATCTATAATTTTGATAACAAAAACAATATTGCATAACAATCAAACAAAATTCTTCTACCTAAACTAAGATCTAGATTTAAATTAAAATCTTCTTGAGCTGTTGCTATTGTTAATGCTCGAACAGCATTAGCATCACGAAAATCAAGTGTAACACCACCATTAGTTTTTTCAATTAGAAAAGATTTTAATATTGGATGTTTTTCAGCAAGTTGTTTAAAATCAGGTGGATTCGTTCGATAACGATTTCGTATATGCATATATTCATTGAACGACATCTAAAAGATATGATTTATCAAGATTGCTTCTTTATATCATTTATCATATTGTAGATAAATCTATCTTTGTAATTATCAAATATTTTATTTAAGATACAAATAAAATAAACTACAGATGTTAAATCATCTTTTTATTCATTTTGTTTTTCTTATTACATAAAAAAAAAAAAGAAGATATTTCAAGGAATACATAAGGAAAATTTAGTGACTTAAACACGTTCAATTAATAATGAAATACCTTGACCACCACCAATACAAGCAGCACCAACAGCATATTTTCCTTGACGTCGGTTTAATTCATAAACAAGATTTGCTGTTATTCGTGTACCTGATGCACCTAATGGATGACCAAGAGCAACAGCACCTCCATTAACATTAGTTTTTTCATTTGGTAATTTCAAAGCTCTTTGACATGAAACAAATTGTGATGCAAAAGCTTCATTAATATCAAATAAATCAATGTCAGATATTTGTTTTTTTGATTTTTTTAATAAATTTTCAATAGCTGGCACTGGACCAAAACCCATTATTGAGGGATCAACACCACTAACATGATAAGCTACTAATCGAGCTAATGGTTTAAGATTATGTTTTTTCAATGCTTCTTCATTACAAATAATAACAGCACCAGCGCCATCACATATACCACTAGCATTACCAGCTGTCACTGTTCCTTTATCTTTAATAAAAACGGCTGGTAATTTTGAAAGTTGTTCTATACTTGATTGTGGACGTGGATGTTCATCTGTATCAAAAACTTCTTCAGCTCCTTTTTTTCCTTTAGTTTTTATTGGTTCAATTTCATCTTTAAAAACACCTTGATCATTTGCTTTTTTCCAACGTTGTTGAGATTGTAATGCATATTGATCAGCATCTTGACGTGTAACATTATATTTTTTTGCTAAGTTTTCCGCTAAATTTAAAATAAAAAAAATCAATATATTTCATTTCATTTTGAAATTATTTTTCTTTTTTGAAATTACCTGTTACACCCATTGGTGTTTTAATATATTCATCAGTTAAACCTTGCCAAAGAGTATCTTCAAGTTTTAAATCTTGTCCTAATTTTGTTCCAAATCGAGCATTTCGTACTGCATATGGAGCTTGTGACATATTTTCTGTACCACCACATAATACAATATTTGAATCATCTAATTCAATTTCTTGTCCACCAGATACAATTGATTGAAAACCTGATCCACAAAGACGATTAACTGTTAATGCAGGAACATGAACAGGTACACCAGAACGTAGGGCAGCATGACGAGCAATATAAGCAGCATCTGCTGATGAATGCATTACATTTCCAACAATAGCACTATCAATAAGTTCAGGTGATAAATTTGCTTGTTTCAAAGCAGCACGATTAGCAATTTCTTGTAAATGTGTAGCTGAAAAGTCTTTTAATTTACCACCATATGTACCAAATGGAGTACGACGTGCTGCAACAATATATATAGCTCGTTTGAAAACCATGATGTTTTATATTTTTCTTGTTACAATGCCCTACGAGTATACCTAGATTTATTTTATAAAGAATTTAGTGGGTAAATAATGACCTTTGCTCTTACCTCACATCATCACCATTATATAGCATCCAATCCATTAACTACCGTACTCTGCTGTAATTTGTGCGTTTTATTTATCGAACGGAAAGAAAAAAAAATGGAATTTATGACAGAGACTAGCGACCTCGATTCTTAAGGTTGTCGGTAGAAATCGTTGGATTTTTGCTAAAAGTCTATAAGGGTTATAAATTACAATATTAGAGGATATGATATGAATATAAAATAAATGAAAATATCAAGTTAGAAAACAAACATAAAAAATATGAAAAACAAGACATATTATCATATTTATTAAGAAGAAAAAAACTAGCTCTAATAAATGTATATTCTACTTTAATCTAGATAGTTTTTTTATTTTTAGAAATATTGCAATATTTTTCTCGTAATGATTGATAGAAATATTAAGTTTTATCTGAAAAACAATTGACAATAACTATTAAAATGTTTCATAATTAAAGAATTAAAATCTTTCAACTAATGATGCTTTTCGAATATTATTTGTTTCCACTGTAGAATTGGTTGTCTCCATAGCTAAATTTTGCATATCATAGGATAAATCTAACCATTCAATATCTTGATTTGAACATGTACATGACAATACATCACTACATTTGATCCACCATTTATTTCGACTTGATGATGTTGCTGATTGTATTTGTTTGTTATTACTCATGTTTGCAAGATAAATTACTTTAATCTTTTCTTTCCCAGTTGATGTTTTTCTCGAAAATATTGTTGGTGTTTTAATAATATGTGTAATTAAACGCATATTAGTTACAGTTGTTATTCTGGAACTAAAACAACAACAACCTAATTTATAAGTATATTCAAATCGAATATATTCATTAGGCATTAAAGTAAATATTGAGTCTCTTGATTCGGGTTGCTGCATCAGTGGATAATTAGACATGTTCCTAGAAAAAAAAAAAAAAAACTTATAGAAGAATAATATAAAATATATTCAATTTTGTTTAAAACGAGATAAAAAGTATGATGAATGGATTTTCTTGTATTTACATTCTGTCACGTATATTATGAAGTGCTCGTCTTTTATCTTTACTGGCGCGTGTTATTCTTATATTTTTAATTAATAATTTCCTTATTATATATTCGTTGTAGCAAGATAAAAGTATAATGTCCAATTTATCAATACAAGGTAAAATAAATGAACAATTGAATGTATTTTAAAATGAATAAGATTGATTGTAGAAGAAAACAAAAAAACATCAACATCTATTATTCGAACTCAAAATCAACATTTAACAAAATACTTTTCATCATTAACTTCTCCTAGAACATCAATTGTACATCAATATAATTCTAATCAAATCTCTAAACATACATTCGATGAAAATAATAAACAATCAGCTAATTGTAAGTTTAATGAGAAAATAATTTTACTTACAAAACTTTTCTTCAATTTCTCAAGTAATAAATTCTAATGAAAAATATTCTCATGAATTACTTAATCGAATATCAACACTTTGGTTTGGTTCAAATGTTGATCGACAACAAGTATTTAATTTACTCAAAGAAAATCAAATTCAATGTACAATACTATCAGAATTTATAGCACGTTTAGCTCATTCATTTTCAAAACATATTATTGATATTGATGATATATCAATACGTAAAACAATGTTATATCAAGCATTAGAATTAAGTCGAATAGCATTAAAATCCAATAAAAATTGTGCATTATGTCATTTTTCTTATGGACATATTATTGGAGTTTTATTAAATATAAATTATTTTTCATTAAAAGATAAATTAAATGAAGCATCTTTATTTAAATATCATATGGAAAAAACAATTGAATTTGATAAAAATTTTTATGAAGCATATGCTTATTTAGGTAGATATGAATATACAGCATTTAATTTAAGTTTATTAGAACGTAAAGCAGCATCAATATTAGGTTATAAAATTGAAGGAAATTTAGATAAAGCATTAGAATATTTTCATATAGCAATAAAAGGAAATTATGATATGATACATACAGTTTATTTATTAATGGGAAAAATTTATCAAAAGAAAAAACAATATAATGAAGCAAAAAAATATTTAAATATGTGTATACAAATTCCAATTCAACGAAAAAGTCAAATTAATATTGTAGATAATGCGAAAATTTTGTTGAAAAATAAAAAAATTGAAAATTTATCGTTTGAATCTTTCATTTGTCATTTGAAAAAGTAAAAAAGTTTTATTCATTGATTTAGTTAGAAATTCTATTACGAATTCTCTTTATATGATAATTTCTAATATCAATAATTTAATTAATCTTTAATAGATATAAACATTTTTCTTGTTCCCAACGATAATTTCTATTGAATGGTAAGAATGTTGATTCAAAATATAATACTTATTAGTCTATTTATCACAATCACAAGTTTTTCTATCATATTGATTCATTCGATAAGTATTACATCGAACAATCTTTTCCAACTAATTCTGTTCAATTATAAGTAACAAATCTAGTCAAACAACTAAAACAAAACTACTTATATATGATCATAAGATTGATTATGAATTCGAAAAAATATATCGATTTTTATAGAAAACTTTCAGTCTATACTTCCATCAATCACACTGATTGAATTTATTATTATTCAGAAACAGAATAATTCAACATAGAGTAAAAAATTTTAACATCATAAATACTGTCGAAATCGACGAAAATGAATGAATTTCAAACATTATGTCTATAGATGTTACGTAATCAGGTTTAAACGTTATCACTGATAGTTCGATTAAAATCATGATATATCTTGTACTTCAGTTTTTTTTTTGCTTAGATTAATTTCATAATCAGTAATATATTCATTTTTTCTTTTAAGTATATTTCATACAGCGTCGATGAGCACTTGAAGTTTATTGCTTAGATCAAGACGAGATAAAACATGTTCTTTATCTTTGATTAGAATCATTTTTTTTTTTATTCTACATCAAGAAGATTGTACGATACCATTTTTGATAGGCATAACTTAAGAAGCTGTTCAAAATGATAACAATATCTGTTTGTTCATACTTTTTTACTTTCATTGAATTAAATCATTCGAGTCAGCCAATTTTCTTGATAATCATCTCGTCAGCTTCAATCATATAATTTATTCAAGTGGCATTTTATATTGATGTTCACATTGGCAAGGTCAATATGTATGGACGGAACTAAAAACATATGTTCATATTCAGAATCAAGGGATGTTCATCAAAGAACAATACAAAACTAGAACAATATGTTCTGGAGAACTGTAGAATGTTCGATACAACATAATGTTCACTGCGAAAGATTTTACTTTATCAATAATTATCATTTATACACAAATTCTTTGTGATTAATCATGTTTTTTTAAATAGATAAGGATATCGAGACTCTGTACACTAGATATAACTAATCCCATACATAATAGAACAAAAACGATCAGATCTCTTAATTATCGTTATTCTTCAAAACACTTAATTTTTAAAATACTCATATTTGATGATCGAATGATTCGCCATGGATATATGAAAATTGGTGTCGGTCTGAGTGAAGATCTTTTGTGTATCCTCAACAATACTCCTTAACCATACATTCACTTCCAATATACTTTAAAACAAAAGTCTTATGCGACTAAACACTTTTGTATATTTATTAGAATTCTGCTCTGACATTGTTAGATCAAATAATAAAACATTTTTTGATTTGAAAAAAAAAAAAAAATCATTGAAAATCTGTTTTAGAAACAAACGAAAATAAATCTTATCATTATCTATCTATGATTCAATCAAATAATTATTCGTATATTTAATATCGATCCATTCTTTGAATAATGTTTTCTTTGAAAACTTATGCTCCTTTTCAATCCTATAAATAACAAACATATATTTTGCTTATATATATTTTTTAATGTTTGTTTCAAAAATTGGGACATTGATAACCTGTTTGTGCTATTAGTACAAAAAAAAACAGATAGCTTGTTCGGTAACGATATATATTAGCACAATTTTATCACAAAAAAAAAGAAAGAAAAAACTGCAAATTCAATAGAAATAACTGAGTAGAATATATATTTTTTGTCTCTGATATTCTTTTGAATTATCATATGAATTTATGATCAAAATTTAAGTTGTTTGGGTTTTTCCCATGGAAATTCTGGTCGACCAAAATGACCATAACATGCAGTTTTTGTATAAATTGGAGTTTTTAAATGTAAATCTCTATCAAAAAAAAAATTTTTTAAAATAAAAACAAAAAAAAAAATATATAAATCTTACCGAATAATAATACCAGGACGAAGATCAAAATTACTCTTAACTATTTCAAGTAATTCTTTATTTGTTTTTGATGATGTACCATATGCAAATACAGTAATCGATAAAGGTTCAGCTATAGCAATACTATATGATACTTGAACAAGACAACGACGACAAAGTTTTGCTTTCACAAGAGATTTTGCAACCCATCGAGCAGCATATGCTCCTGATCGATCAACTTTTGATGGATCTTTACCACTAAATGCACCACCACCATGAGCACCCCATCCTCCATATGTATCAACAATTATTTTACGTCCAGTTAAACCAGCATCTCCTTGTGGACCACCAATTTCAAATTTACCTGATGGATTTAAATAATAAACAGTTTTATCATCTAAAATAAATATACATAATAAAATCAATTTATTTCATTAATATAATTATATGATCTTACCAAGCAAATGTTGTGGTACAACTGTTTTAATAACTTTATTAAGAAGATCATCGCGTAATTGTTCTTGTGTAACATCAGGACTATGTTGAGTTGATATAACAATAGTATGAACACGTTGTGGTACGCAAGCACCTTTATCAAATTTATATTCAACAGTAACCTATACAAAGATTTTTTTAAAATATATTGTTTTCTTTTTTTTTTTTTTTTTAGTATACTTGAGTTTTTGAATCAGGTCGAAGATACTCAAGTTGTCCATTTCGTCTTAATTCAGCCATTTTAGCATTAAGATGATGAGAAAGTACAACAGTTAATGGCATACATTCTTCTGTTTCATCTGTTGCATAGCCAAACATTAAACCTTGATCACCAGCACCAATATCTTCATCAGCTTTTTTTTCATGCACAGCTTGTGCTATATCGGGTGATTGTTGTTCAAGTGCAACAAGAACATTCATTGTTTTATAATCAAAACCTTTATCAGATGAATCCCAACCAATATCACGAACAGTATTACGAATTATTGTTTGATAATCAAGATTAGCTTTTGATGTTATTTCTCCACATACTAATACCATACCTGTTTTTGTACATGTTTCTATATAAAATCAAAATAAAAACAAAAACATATATAAATAATTTTTATATGATATCATAAATAAAATAGTAAACTTACCACATGCAACTTTAGAATTAGAATCTTGAGTTAAACAAGCATCCAAAATAGCATCACTAACTTGATCACAGATTTTATCTATATAAACATAAATTCAATTAAGTTTTTTTTCTGGCGTTTTTTTTTTTTTTCAAAAATATATTAAATGAAGTAAAACTATTTAAATTTAACAAGAAACTTCCTTGTCTTTTGAATTAGAAACTGCAATTATAAAGCTCAGCTTGTTCTTTTTCTTTTGTCAATTCAATTCTTTCTTTCACTGCACTGTCATGTTTAATTCTCATTTTACTTTATGTAAAATGCTCTCGTAGCCTAGGGTGACACTTCATGACTCACCAGGATGACCTTCGCCGACAGATTCTGACGTAAAAAGAAAGACTTCACCATCCGCTTTGTCCGATTCCATGATGAGGGCCTAAGTGGAAGATATATTTTCTAAAAAAAAAAAAGAACGAATTGAAATAATTCTGTATGAAATTGTTTTCGTATTATATAATTATGCTTCTTTTTTTTCTTCGTAACAATAATAATAATAGTACATAGTGCGCTGCTGTTACGAAACATTCAGTCATCATCTAAGTAAGAGCAAAACTTGCGATTAAGTGTTCTTGTAGAAAATAGGCACGTTTTTTCTTTCTTTTTCTTTCTCTCGTTTTTTTTTCTTTTGATTTTTTGTTAAAATTAGAGTTAGACCTATATACATGATGAGAAGAAAGCATGACAATTAAGGTATAAGGTCATATCAGTGGAAAAAATGTCAAACAAGGCAGATGGTAGAACGAAGAAAAATGTCAAAAAATTCAACATTATTATTGTCATTTTTCTTTATTTTGGTCTTTAGTCAAAAAGATGATTCAGTAGTGCATAGATACGTCGGACCGAATATCAGTTATGAAAAAAAATAACCAAAAGAAAAAAAAAACAGTACTCGGTCAATTTTATTATCAATTCGGGATAACTCAGAAGTACGCTGGCTTAGAAAAAGATGCAATATGGATTTGATTTATGAGTAGAATGGGATTCATGCTGTTCCTGACTGTGAAGTTACAAAAAAATGAGACGACTGTCGACAGAGCCGTCTTTTTTTCTCTCTTTTTCTCCGCTTTTTTTGTTTTTTTTTTTTCTTCTTTCTTTTCTTCTTTACAACACATGCACGTTCGGTTCGCTGTGAGAGAATCGACGACACGAAAAAAAGAAATAGAGAAAAGGAAAAAAAAAAAGGAACGTAAATGATAATCATCTCGTTCTTTGTGCATTATATTCTTCACAAGGATGTTTTCAATGGTCTTCTTAATTATCAAGAAGTCAATCAAATTTGTAAATAATAATGATCATCGATTAATAACAAAAGATAAATGCGAAAGAATGATCAGAGAATACTTCATTTTATCTAATCAATGAAGGTTTTAAACATACTTGAAATTCAATAGATGAATGACAAGAAAAGCTGTCGAACACCCACGCATAATCATTCATACGTACCAAGGTATGTAAATAAATGCGAAAGTCAATCTTTCCCAATGATGAGATATGGCAAATGTTTTTTCTAGTCTCGAGAATAATGTAAATAATTATGTTTTGATAATCATATCAATATGAAATGTTGGTATTTAATTGATATTAAAAAACGAAGATCAAAAGAAAAAATTTCGTATAAAATTTTCTATTTCTTGAAAACAAAAAAAAAACGACGCAACTACGAAAAATATGCCCTCACAATGTTTTAATGTAACTTTTTTTTCATGTACGAAAAATATAATGATGACATTTAACAATGGGATCGTTTTTCGTTCTCTTTACAAAAAGAAAAAGAACCAAGGTCGACTGAACATAGATGATTATATATACTAAAAAAAAAAAAAAAACGTACTGATTCATTTAGACAGAATCATTGAAGTTTTATTCTATTTGACAAATATCAACATTTGTTTCTAAAGATAATTAAATTGATAAGAACCTATTGAAACACTGAATGAGATGAAACAATCCAATTTTATCACATTTCGTCTCATGAGACATTATTTAAAAACAATGTAGATTTTGTTTTTCAGACAATCGAATAAAATTAATGTTTTACTCAAATAACATTGAACACATATCTCTCTCTCTCTCTCAATAAAATATTCTTTGATTGTTTTTTTCGTCAAAAGTACAGTTTTTTAATTATTTATTTATTCATGCAACTTTATCTTAACATTCATTTAAAATATTTATTCGTAATTCTAGTTTTCGAAAAATTTCGGTCTAAAACATAATAACATGCCTCACTGATTGCTATTTATTATGTGGTGACTGTAGATCCTGTCCTCACCCACATCCTTCGCTTGTGTGTGGTTTTTTTTGTTAGCTAATTATTAATGTCAAATCAAATAAAAGCGTAGGGTTTAATGATGTTGAATATCAATTCGACCTTCTTAATAAGACAAGGACATGTTAAATAATCCGTCGGTGAATTATATGTTATAAACAAAGAATAAAGAAATATTGATCCTTTGGTTTTAACTGAATCATACAAGAGTCTTTAATACAAGAAAAAAAAAACATTTCACATGTCGTTTTCGATTATTGTTGATACGGTTCAACGCACAGTATTGTGTCGATAAGAAGTACAATAGAGAATAAGAACAGTCGTTTATTCGTGATTACTAATCCATTTTGTCCTTTTCTGATAAGTTTTCAAGTTCATACGATATATATATCGAATCAAATATAATCGTTAAATATTTGTATCTTTTTAGTTCGAATATAGCGTTATTCTATTATTATTTTCGTTATGTTTTTTCTTGTCTCTTGCAAGCATGTGAAGATGAATCTTCTCTCATGAGACACAGACCATTAAAAAGAAAAAGTATATAGCTTAGAATGAATGTGTGAATACTATTCTTTTTTTTTTTATGTTGATTGTTGTAATTGTTCTAAAAACGTAAACTATCTGATTACTAATTCTCATTCTCGGTTACAACATTTTACTATGAATTCGTATAAAAAATATATGATATTATGCAAATATTTGTTCACAAATATGAGATACATTGAGTTGAAAATGATATTCTAGTCTTAACACGAATAATGAATGGGATCGTGAAGATTTTTTTATCTAATAAATTATGACAGTTTTATCAAATAGTGCAAATGTCACATATAGGAATATCATAGAAAAAGTGTTTGAAGTTTACAAGAAAAAGATCAAGTGACTTCAAAATATTATTAATAATTAAAATCAATAAATGATCAAAATTTTACCTGAAAGAAACAATAAAAATTAAGATTTTCTTCCAATCAACGAATTTCTGTATTTGATTGAAAACATTATTCAGATTTCTCTGAAATATTTTTCATCAATGCATAAAGCTTTTCAATATTCTCTGTGAAAGTTTTTAAGTAGATTTGAAATATGCCTGTTGAAGTTTTAATACGTGTTCTATTCACTTAGTGTCTCACAATCTGGTTCGAAGTATAGGTCCAGGTACCGAGCATGAAAAAAATTGTCTGCTCGAGTTTCGAGTGTAATTTCATCATATCCGAATCTAACTCAACAATTAATGAGATCTTGATATATTAAAATATGTTTCCATTTTTCAAACTGATGATTTAAATAAAAACATAGATATGAAAACTGCTTCGATCATAATTAAACAATTTGTTATACTTGAGAGAACAGGTCACGGAAGTGAAAAGTGATATTGTATTACTAAAAGAATTCATTTTTAAACGAAAATTTATCTACTAATGATGATAAACCATATGATGAAGTAACTAAACACATGAAAGAAAAATAAATTATTAAAAAGACGAACATGTGTATTATCGTAATGGAAAAAGTATTTATGTATGTACCCACAATTATGGCATTTGTCACCAACACTGTGTTCCATTTCAGCGTCATCAGCAAGAAGTAAACGTATACTTAGCGAAATTTATTGGATTTTAGAAACAGAAAAACATCAAATTAATCTTGAATCACTTTGATCTCTTTTCTTTTTGTTGCTTTTTATGGAAGAAACTAAATAGAATACTTTTTCATATGAAATAAAAGTTTGAACACTCTATTATGACTGTGAAAGTATCTAGCAGATATCAATTAGCATCGATCTAAATCCAGTTGTGAAAAGTTATCTCCATGTAGGACACTACTATTCATAGGTCAGCTAGCGAAAGACATTATTATGATTGAAGCTGTATAAAAATGAGAAGTAGATTCTACTAGAGATGGACTCAATCTGAATAGATCAAATCGGGTTGAATCGGTCGATCTACCGACAGATCGACTAGTCAAATATCCGTACTGATTCCATTTCTAGATAGTGTCATTTATTGTGATCAACATCCGAAAAAATTTCCTACATAACTTCATCTAATGAAACAGGAAAGTAAATAAATACGATTGGACGGTCTGATATATGTACTGGTGCTAACTTCATATCTAGATTCTACAATTTTCATTATGCTATTTGATTTCAAGTCGTTTTTCACATTAATTTCGAACACTAAATATTCATGTGTTTGTTTATAAACTTTTTTTTTTCTTATTTCTAATTTGTTTTATAATCTTCATGAACATAATTTAGTGTACATAATACTCTTAGATAAATTTTTTTGTAAGTACATTTCACATTGATTTTATCTGCTTGTTAAGAATATTTTTTTTTTTCAAATAACCAGTGTTTATTTCTAATATTTTTACTTTTTCTTTGACAGATTTGTTAGCTTTACAATGCGTTTAGGACTGTAATACAAACAGTTTTTGATCAAGTCTTTTATACACTTTCTGTCTAGCTGAGAAGAATATAATCATCGTATGATGATATATTTTTATCGATTCTGTCAAGATAAAATTCCTAGATACCATAACTAAGTACATTTTTTAAGAGTCAAGGAAGTCAAATGAGTGCATTTTATTTATCAATATAAAACACATGGAATTTCAATTGAATGAATAAATATTGAAGAATAAATGAGTATCAGTCATTGATTTTTATAGCTTCTTCAGTAAAAGATACCTCAATCAATGATAATCAGCCAAAGCACAATTGATTTCATATTGTCGTAATAAAAATCACGTGTTCAGAACAGTTTTACTGCAACTATTTGATGAATAATTTGGAAAGTGCTCATGTAAAAAATGATTATTATGATAATCTTATAACAGATCTTGATATAATTTTTTTGATTCTCGAGAAACGTCATGAACTAATCATTTGAAATTAATAAAATTAACAACGATCGTGTAAAAATCAAAAGATTGAAACGATGAAGATGATAATCTGTATGACATAGAGTAAAGACACGAGAGTAGAGGTTATGTAAAATAAGCAAGTTCGATATTTGTACTGATAAGGAAAAATTTTATCGCTGAATTGTTTTTCCATTCTTTGCTGCAAACTCCTATGGCTTTCATAATTTTCT